ATAGGGTTGCGATCCTAAAGCTAATGTGGGTTACTACCTAGTGTCACTTTCTTATTTGGTGTTGTTTTTTTGGTGTGTATTGACAAAAAGTCATGTTATCTAATGAAAACAACTTAGGTGTAAAAAAAAAAGGGTGCGTCTAAAAAGGATTGAACGTGCGACTTAAATAAATGAAATTGAAATTGGCGACAAAACTGGTAGCTACACTTATAGGATTGATAAGAATTTTACAGCAAGTATTCATTCACTAGTTAACCAGGCCGCGTATTTTGTTTTACCCACAATCATGACCCAAATCGAACAAAAAACTTGGCCTGTTTGGAAGAAAAAAATCGATTACAAATAGAACTGAATTGAAAGATATAAGAGATCTTTAAAGAAGAAAATGTAAGTAATACAAGATTTAAAGTAAATTAAATCATACGAGGAAGTGGCAAAAGAAAGTAAAGTTACAATGAATTTGCAAAAAAAACGATGATAAAAGGAATCGAGAAGAATATTTCAGCAAATTAATATGTGAATGACTTGAAAATGGAACAAATACTGGAAAACTTGAAAAGGAAGAAAATACAGATTGTGCAGGAAAACAAGAAACCATGAAACATGTCTGAATTAAAAGAAATTTGGATAGAAAAAAAGTTAGATAACTGGAAGAAGATAAGAAAGGAAGTGAAGAGATGCCTAAACGATAATATAGGAGCAATAATAGGTAAACAAAAACGTTTTATTAGCATAAGGAAGAGTTATATTGATGGTAGAACATACTACATGTTTCGACACAACATTGATCTGCCTTCTTCATCTCAAAGTATTTTGTGACCTGTTTCAAATTGGCGATATGTTAGGGCAGGTATCTGAAATTCACCTTTGCGCATGTGACCTTGGTGTTCTTAGCGTCTTATTTCTAATGTGCTTGACGTTTGTCCTATGTATTTCTTTCCACATTCACGTGGGATACTGTATATTCCTTGTTTTTTGTTCTTTTAGTAGGAATTCTTTCGGGTTAAGTAGTGAGGTGTCAATCTTATGTAAACGGTTGAATACAGTTTTTACATCGATGCTCAAGTTATTAAATAGGCTAGCCAACCCATAAATAATGAAGAAAGAAACTGTTGATTAAAGCAAGCGATCTCTCAATAAACCGTGAAAATAGCCTTAGCAACATCAGCGGTATTTGGTAAGGTCTATTCACCGTTAATACACTTGATCAGACTTGACCTTTACCTATTTCCTGTTACTGCTGACATCATTTCAGTCAAATTTATTCCTTGTGTCTTTTGTCTTTGTAACTATATATAAACCCTGTATTGCTTAGTACAGATCATACCCGAGAAGAAAACGGACCAATGTTTTGTCGAAACATGTAGGATATCCCACCATCAATAAAATTCTTCCTTAGGCTTATAAAACTTCCTTACTCAAATACGGAAATGGTAATGGAGACACGGAAACTGAAGTAAGAGCTGAAAATGGAGATGAAAGAAGAAAAGAAAGGAAGCGAAGAGATGGTTAAACGATAATACAGGGGAAATAAAAGACATATAGACACGGAAATAATAATGGAAAAGGAAAAAGATAATAAAGGAAGTGAAGTGATTGAGAGACAGAGGAGATAAAACAAATTCAGAGATTGGAGTGGAAAGGAAAGAAGATAAGAAAGAAATCTTACATGGAAAAAGAGTTAGAAAAAAAAGGTGGAAAGGAAGTTGGAAGAGAAGAAAGGAGGAAAAAAAGATGGGAAAAATAATAAAAGAGACAATAAGTTGAATTTTAAATTCAATTTTATACTTCATGTATATTAAACAAATGTTACGATAATTTATTTATTTATTATGTTTTTTTTTTTAGTATTGCATGAATTTGTTTGATGACGTATGACTACTGCTTCCACAGACCGCCAGGGGGAAAGTGAAATTATTCTTATTCTATTTTTGATAAAAATCTCTGTATATCAATATATAAGGTTGCTTTTGTTTCAATGTCATCTGCATAGTTTGATAAAGTCACATAAATACATGTACTTCATCTATTTTAGTATCTTGGCATAGCTTCCAAGATGGCAATATTTATAATGTACCCATACTGCTAAATTAAATCTTAGGACTAACTTGTAATATATTCAATGTTAACTTTATTTGTGCAACTAAATAGGAATTTTTTAACTTTCACATTACCATTACACGACTCCCAGCTCTTGAGAGATTTACAAAAATAAAATGGAATAAACGCAGTAATGATATTATACCATTACCATATAATCCAAATACAGCTTTATTTCCTATTATATATTTGAGCACAAAAATAATTGGTTTGACTTCGGTTTTGTAACGTGATCCTGAAGCTGTCTTGTAGAATAGTTTTTCCTCAAAGGGAATGTACAATAGAAACTTTACAACGTGAGGTTTAATATGATTTCCTGAGTTATTAAAATTCCATTGTGAAATAATGTCTTTTATTTTTCATTCTGTTTTTTGCTTAAACTTTTTCTTTTTATAACATTCATAAGTTAGAATGATCTAAGTTATTGAGTACGGTTTCCTCTTTATTGTATGCGTGTTACATCTTAAACATTTTTTTTCTATAAACAGCGAATATCAATACCACCATTGAGAAGGCAGTTACTTCTCTTTCCAGGTTAGTTACATCTATCATTTGTGTAGAGATGTCTAGAAATTTTGTCATAATAACTTAAAACGCTCTTATATATTGTGAGCATTATCGATACACAATAGAAATGTGTTCAACTTTTAGACTGCATCTATGAATAGACTTACTTAATATGAGTTATTTAATTAGTTTTAGCCCAGTTCATGTAATATTATCGATACACAATAGAAATGTGTCCAACTTTTAGACTGCATCTATGAATAGACTTACTTAATATGAGTTATTTAATTAGTTTTAGCCCAGTTCATGTAATATTATCGATACACAATAGAAATGTGTTCAACTTTTAGACTGCATCTATGAATAGACTTACTTAATATGAGTTATTTAATTAGTTTTAGCCCAGTTCATGTAATATTGTTAATTATGTCAAGTAATATACGACAGCAAAGATCGGAAAATTCTTTTAAATATGCAATATAAAAGAACAATTATTATATATATATATTTTACAAAATCTCAAAGTTAAAAAAATGTCCGCACTGTTAAATGTTCACTTACGTATTTGAACTGAAGTTTCTAAAATGTTAGTGCCGTTAGTATACAATGTCAAATTTATTTACCCGTATTCGCTGTACAATATTAGACTTGTCAGCAAAAAACAGAGGATTACTTTTACGTACCATATGATTTTACTGAGAACGAGAATAAAAGCCGATTGTGTGGAAGCTTTGATAGATAAGTCGCTGACGATTTGTCAGTCATGAACCAAGGGAAGGACTGGACAACGAAGATTCTTATTAAGCTCAACTCAGAGTCTGCAATATAACCTTCATACGCTCTGTTGCCGTTTTATTTTGTCGTCTGAGAAATCGTAACCATTAGGAGAGATGATCAGAAGAGAAACAGATTATCTCAGATATGTACTGCAGAGCAACTCGATGCTAAAAAGGTAAATAAGTTTGTTTCCATTTCATTGAAAAAACAGATCATTATGTGTATAGTTTATCGAAGTTCCCAACTCAATTTTAATACGTATATATCTGAGAAATAGCTAATTACAAGTAGATTTACGAAGTCTCGCTCTGATCTCGGATTTTTTGCTCGTTTGAATAATAACTCGAAGAAGTATTATTTCCAAAAAATTTATACAAACATAAAAAATGATTGAAATCAAAACATTTGGGAATTATTTAGTTAAGTTTTCAAATTATTATTCTTCCTTAAAAGAATAAATAAGCATGTTACATATCATGTCTGACAAAATCTTCCTTCATAAAAAACATCGTACGACCATAAACCCCTGACATTTTATTTACATGCCCAATATTTTCCCATGACTACATTTAAATTGAGACTCACTTTATAACAAATCTCATTGGTATAAGTAGTAGGAAAAGCTATCGTGGAGAAATATTGGGCGAGTTTACGGTCATATTATATTTATTGTCATAAAGTGTGCTTCTCTCCAAGCGATCTTGCAAACACTAAAACCCCAGAGAACGTTGGTGTGTTGTATAAAAGTCATCAACGACATTACTTCTACACACACATTTATCGGTTTTATTTGGTAAAGTTGAAAATGACATTACATGCAAGAAGTCAGTTATGACTAAATAGAAGTTTTTATAGTCAGTTATTTTGAAAAACTGGTACAGCAGGAAATTGACACAGAAGATACGTCGAACAGTAAACTTTAACAGGGAGAATAAATGTGCTTACACCATGGATGAAAACAAAGTTCAAGATCTCGTGTTAAACTATACTTCAGAAAATTTTAGTTCCTTTATTGAAGTATCTGTCACTAAGACTTGTTGTTCTTCAAGTAATAACTACGTTACTTAAGTTTCAAGAAATGACATTTAACATACACTCAACAAAAAAATGTGAAACGTTTATGTTTGTTTATCTTTAAGCACAAAGTAACAAAAATGGACTATCTGTGCTCTGCTCCCCTCAGGTATCGAAACCGATTTTCTGATGCTGTGAAACCCCAAACCTACCGATGGGCATGAGGCAAGAGAACATTAAACATACGTTAGTTAAAAACTTAGAATTATATCGACTTCAAACCCGCGTTTTATTCCTGATGGAACTTGATATCAGACGTTGGAGAAAATGAGTAAGAAATTGTTACATAGCTGTATTGTAGTTTTGTGTTTCAGAAAAAAAACTATCTTTGAGCCATGGATATAAGGTGATTATTACATTTTAAACTTTATAGTGACATTTTAAATCAAATATAATCAAAAAATCATCTAATTCTCAGGATAACTAATAGTTATATTCCGTACTGATTTTGTGACCTTGACTCTGACTGTTTGATTTGCATTCCTAAAATCATATAAAATTGACATCTGCTTTTTACTTTAGTTTTGTGCCTTGACATCCGTTTTTAATTTTGCTTTCTCAGTTATTTTGTAACCTTCACAATAGACTTTCACCTTCCAGAAATATGGTGCCTTTTAACCTTGCTATTCACATTACATTTTCGTATCTTTGTGACCTAGCCTTTACAGTTTACCTTCCAAAAAACTTGTGACTTTGACCACTGATTTTCACTTTTACTTTTGTAAATATGATCTAAGTTTCTAGCCAAATTTCTGATTTTGGAGTAGTCAATGCTTAAATACAAACAATATATCAAAATAATATAAAGACCTTCATTTTAAAACACAAGCAATAGAGTTTATCAGAATCTAACCTCATGTAAAATATAAGCTTCCTACTTACTCCAAAGAGCCAAAAAGCTATCATAACTTCAAAGTACATGATAATAAATTATAATAACCCGTGTTCCTGAATAATTTAAATTAAACTTAGAAATTTGGTTGTATTATTAAACTTTTTCATTACGATTTTGTCACACTTGTTGTTCTGTTGTTTGTATCGCTGTCTCTTCAAATATCGGACAGAGTCGAAACGTTGAGGAAAATAACTTATTCTGAGAGATAGAAGAACGGTTATTTTGTTCTAGTTGGCTGTTCTTTGAATTATTTGGTTGGAAAGTACGCTGACAATTTTGCTGAAGTTCTGTGGTTGACGTAACTACGGTGTTATCTCCTCGTAGTTTTGTGGATGTCGTAATGTTGATTCTCCCAGGAATTTCTGCTGTTACTGTGTAGGTATTAGGTGACAGATGTTTTGTGACTATTGTAGCATGATTACTTCCTTTTAACCCTGAACCTGTCTTGAAAGCATTGTACTCCAACAACTCTGTGTCTTCTGCTTGGAAATCATGTTCAGAGACGACGTTATGCCCATTTATTTCTGTAACTGGCATCAGGGCGTTGTGTTTCACATATTTCGCATTCCTTGTGATTGTGTCACATTCCGGTAAATTTGCCACACCTGTAACTGTCTCATATTTCTGTAGGTGTGGCTTCATTGTATTTACTAGATGTTCCTCAGGCTCTGTAGCTGTCGATAATGTTGACTGTTCTATAGTGGTATTACGAGTTTTAATTAAACTATTTGTTTCTGCACGTCCTCCACTAATAGGTGGCGATTTGTCAGTGACAAACGTAGAAATGCTGGTTTTTCGGGAGCTGGTAGGACTCCCTGTTTCTAGATTCTTGTGGCGACCACTAAGTAGTCGGCCGTTGAGCTCGTTTTTTGTATGCATAGCCTGAATTCTCTCCATTCTCTGCGCGTGGCGACTAGCAGAACTGATGTCATCTGGCATGGTTACATCAGAGTCCTTGTGGTAGTTACAACCCAGTACTCGACTGAAGGCTTCCTTAAACTCTTTGTTCAAAAAGACATAGATGCAAGGATTGAAGGACGAGTTGAGATAACCTAACCATGTGATGGCACTTCGCCACTCGTAACTCAAGTAACATTGTTCGCAGTAGGATAAAATAACGTACATCAGAAAAAAAGGAAGCCAGCAGACACAAAACACGCCCATCACGATTCCTAAAGTTCGAATAGCCTTTGTGTCGGTGATCAACTGCCTAGAGCGGCGCCTAAGGCTTCTCTTAACTTGTTGATCAGCAGTCTGTAGTGATACTTCAAGATGTTTAATCTCTCTAGCTTGTCGCTCAGCTATAAGCAGAATCCGGAAGTACACATAAAACATCACTGGAAGTGGGAGGTAGAATGATGTCATTGAGGAAACGATGGCATAAACTCGATTAACTTCCAACGAACACTCGCTACTGTCCTCGAAGATGGATGTCTTGCCATCACCATCAGCATACCAACCGAGAAAAATGGGAATAAACGAAATCGCTCCACTACAAATCCAAATCCCGACAACAGCTCCAAAGATACGTTTCTTTGAGACAAATATCTGGTATCGCAAAGGCCTAGTGATAGCCCAAAATCGATCCAGAGCTATCACACATAGATGTAGAATAGACGCCGTGCAACACATGACATCACACGAGATCCACAAATGACAAGCTATGGCCCCGAAACGCCATTGTCGTTCTAGGTCATATATTACCAGCAATGGCATGACAAATACTGCCACTGTTATATCAGCGGAAGCTAAACTAGCTAGAAGTAGGTTGGTTACTGACCTAAGCCTTCTGTAGCGGGTAACAACTGTTATGACAAGTACGTTACCCACTAGTGTCATAGCAATCAACAACACGCACACACATGTCCCTAGTATTCGAATCGTCCACTCCCCGATAGTGACTATGTCTTCCTCGGGAAATCCCGGAAGTTTATCAGCGTTCCCGAGTCCTGTATAGTTACGGTTATCAGTAACGTTGCCGAACATAGACCAATCTCGCACTTCATATTTCGGAGAGAACTGGAAAAACGAAGTTGAGTAGCTCGATAGCATCCTATCAAACCTTTTCAATACTCCACGTGTCTTCTCTTAGTTCATAGAGCTTCTGTCGAGTCCTGTATAAAATAGAGAAGAAATCGTACATTAATAAAAAACCTCTCAGTCAAAAAAATTAAATCTGTTATTTTATACCTTGACTAAAAGGAAGCTTTATCTAGTAGAATGCGATCCTTCATGGAAAGTTTAACAGACTTTATTTTCTGTTTTAACATGTTTGACCAACGGTCCTCAACAAAAGGCCAGCCTTGATGGTTGGCATGGCTCGCTAAGAATTTAAAATGCTTACTAATACAAAATAACGAAACTGATACTGCTATAATGAAATAAAGAAAATTATATATTAGAATAGAACTATTACATTGATACATAAATCACTCGATAGCTCTCCACAACTTTCATACTAAACGTGTGTTTTATCTTCTACAATTCATTAAATTAATAAATTGAGAAAAATTTATTTCTCTCAAACAGTTCAAGTCTCCGTGCAATGTCTGATAAGAGTTAATGAAGTTGATTGGTTGTGACGGTGCTGAACAAAACAATTACACCGCTTCACTCGGCTTCAAGACTGTATTGAACTTGGAGACATGAATTTTTTTCCTTCTTCCCTTCCGTCCTCCTCGAATATGAATAATGAACCTGAAATGTAAAAACACACATTTTCATCTTTACATTGCGCTCCTTATGGCTGATCACTTTCCATTGTCCTCTTTCCCCCCTACCCCCACTGACTCTCCCCGAAGTGCCTTTGCCACTCAGCTAATATCTGGCCCTTGGGTTCGTCCTAATATTTTTATCTTGGCCCTCGAGATTTTATTGAGTACCAATGGACTAGGCAGTGTTTTAGCATTAAAAATGTCGACCTTCAAATACTTCAATATCTCTGCAAAGATGCACATTATCTATATAACTTGTATATGTTAAGCACATTAACTAATTTTCTACACATTACACGCATCTTTTATAAAATGTCAAGGCAGCGAGTGATAATGTAATCTAGGCAGAAAAACTAACAATACCGTTGTAAAGTTATACTGATCAATAAGAGATCATTTATATCAAATACTTTTAAACACGGTTCGTGCGCATCAGCCCGTGAAACTTGGGAGGTAGCATAAGGTTTTCACATTTTCCTAAACAGTCATTATAGTGAACCGTACAGAGCATCACTGCCACGTTGTGAATATAGCCTATCTTCTTGTTCCATTCCTCATTATTTTAGAATTGTGCGAGTTGAAAACTGGGTGAATAATTTGAGAATACATAAATTTGATTTCTATTATAATAAACTTCAAGAACATATATATATATATGACAAACATTTATGTAGTATATTATCACCGACATGAAATATCCATTTGGGCATAAAATGCTTATTCGTAGAAACAGTTGTGAAACATTTCTACAAAGTGATGGCAAAGATGAGTTCTTTTTATTTATAGATGAACTATACATCAATCTGAAGCCTCAAAGTAGGAAAAAATATGAGTCTTCTATTTTAATTTAGCCACACATTGTGAATACTTGTAGGTTCTCCGTCTTTTAAGATCCCTATATTTAGATTAATAGAACACTTATATCTACTAAATATAATATCGCAATTATAACCATCGTAAAACATCACAAAATCGTTTAAATCAAAAATGTTTCTTTTATTACAACATTTAGGAATTTTACGTCTTCGATACTCGAAGGAGCGAAAAATAGACACCAAGCTATAGACTTTAAATAGTAAAGGTAATAAAATTCAGTACATCTAGGTTTATTGGCAGGTTAAGGATGATGGTATGTGAGTTTCTTATTTTACCAACGAATAGTGTGATTGACCGCCCCACGGCTGAAAGGGCGAGCATGTTTGGTGTGAGGGGGATTCAAACCCGCGACCCACAGATTGCGAGTCGAGTGCCCTAACCACCCAAACATTTATTTTAAAGATTGAAGAGATCAGAGGGATAGGATAACTCTGAACACTTACTGTTTTCTGGTCTGTGGCTAGTAATCTCACGGAGGTTTAGTCATGTGTTTTTGTGTTGTATGCAGGTAATTTGGTGAGTGAACAAAACATTTGTAGGTACTTTGAAAATACCTTATAACTATTTCATCACGTATTTATTTTGCAACTTGTAATTAGGTTTGATATAAAAAATAACACCTCTGACTAGTAGAAAGTCTTACAGCTTTATCTACGAATCATATACAATGTTTTAACAAACACGAGTGATTTTTTTTTTGTTGTATCGGATTTTCCTGCACGATTGAGAGAAAAAGACACACCATGCGATTCTAGCCCAAGAGCTGGCGGTGGGTGGTGATGACTAGCTGCCTTCCCTCTAGTCTTACACTGCTAAATTAGGGATGGCTAGCGCGTGTAGCTTTGCGCGAAATCCGTAGCAAACAAACAAACTTTGATATTTATTTTTGAACATTTCCTGCCTTGCTAAGTGTCTAGTGGCACACACGTTTCCCGGAAACAAAAATTACTTAGTGTTAAGTGGAAGTCGTGATGCTTGAGGTAGCTTTTGGACTATACTAAATTTTCTCTCAAGTTAATTAAGGTTTCAATAATCATATATCAAGTACACCGAGTGATTATAATACTTGAAAGGTACTGCACACGACCCAGTGAAACTCTGTTCACTGGGACACACCAGCAGTCATACCATTTGATTGAAATACATAAGTAGTTCATATATTGGAATACACTAAGAGAAGCACATTATTCAGTGGGAACATCGGCATGCAGTCACAACATTTGATTGAAATACATAAGTAGTTCATACATTGAAAAACGCCAAGAGCGGTACACTATTTACTGAGACACTAGCAGTCACAGTGTCCGCTTCTCGTGTATTCCAATGAATAAGCTACTGATATGCTTCAATCAAGTTGTATTCCAATGAATAAGCTACTGATATGCTTCAATCAAGTTGTGTGACTGCTAGTGTCTCAGTAAATGTGCCGCTTCTCGTGTGGATATTTACTGGGACACTAGCAGTCACACAACTTGATTGAAGCATATCAGTAGCTTATTCATTGGAATACACGAGAAGCGGCATGATATTTACTGGGATGTATCAAAAATTACACTTAACTGATTGGAATGTACAAGCAGCCGCATACCGTCATTGAAATAAATAAATCACTAGACACATTCAGTTGATTGAAATATACCACGATTTATGAACATCCTCTACCTTGTGATATACAACAGACATATGCAATTTTCTTCCTTGTGATATACAACAGACACATACTATTTCTGAATATCCTCTACCTTGTGATATACAACAGACACATACTATTTCTGAATATCCTCTACCTTGTGATATACAACAGACACATGCGATTTATGAACATCCTCTACCTTGTGATATACAACAGACATATGCAATTTTCTTCCTTGTTATATACAACAGACACATGCGATTTTCTAACATCCTCTACCTTGTGATATACAACAGACATATGCAATTTTCTTCCTTGTTATATACAACAGACACATGCG